AAATAGTTAAAGGAAAAAAATGATATTGTTAGAATGATTACTAATTGTTCGGGAGTACAATAATTGTTTTGAATGTCCTGGTGGAGATCTGGTACTGATGATGTCTTCGTGTGACAGCCGATCGTAGTGTAATGATTAAAATTCAAAACTATTCCTTCGTATGAATATATCCTGATGTGGATATATTCCTTTGTATATTATTATAAATTCAAGATATTCCTTCGTATGAATATATCCTGATGTAGATATATTCCTTGGTGTATTATTATAAATTATTCTCTTACAGTAGGCGTACTACAGCCGATCGTAGTGTAATAATTTAAATTCAAAAGTATTCCTTCGTATGAATATATCCTGATGTGGATATATTCCTTTGTATATTATTATAAATTCAAGATATTTCTTCGTATGAATATATCCTGATGTAGATATATTCCTTGGTGTATTATTATAAATTATTCACTTACAGTAGGCGTACTACAGCCGATCGTAGTGTAATAATTTAAATTCAAAAGTATTCCTTCGTATGAATATATCCTGATGTGGATATATTCCTTTGTATATTAATTAAAAATTATTTCATTTGCAGTAGGCGTACTACAGCCGATCGCAATGTAATAATTTTAAATACAATATATTCCTTCATGTGAATAATTTCTTTATATCGAAATTTTCTATGTCAACTAGTGCTAATTTCAACTTGTAATCCCCAGGTGTATGTGCCTTAGTAAATATTTTACAAGTCAACTCTATAAGAAAAATGCGCATCTTATATACGCACTCGACCGAGCTTTTTCGTAGCGTATCATTTTATTTACAGCTGATCTCACGTAATTCTTGTTTAATTTTTGCCGTTCTGATTTTCTATTTCATGTTTGTGCGGTACTCAGCTTGTGCATTTAACTTTTCTTTGAGTTTCTCTTACGGCGAATAATTTTGGCAGTTGGTGCTTTGTTTTGATTCTTACAAAACGTGTTTTCAAGCTACATTCGATCGGTGGTGGTTTTTATTTATTTTGTTTGTTACAATAAAATAAAATATTAAAACTGCAAATATTCAACAATTTACAACATAAAAATAAGAAATATAATTAACAAATAAATAAGGTGAGTTTATTTTTCATTTATTTAATTATATTTTTATATTTCATTTCGATATCATTTCAGCTTAGTTTGAGGTGTTATTAAGGCTTGTAAGCGGTTTGGGTTTTGGTAAATTGTTTTGACTAAATATTTTAAATATTAATTAATCTATTTAATTCCAGATATTTGCAACATTTATTACCAGTGAGTCCACTTTTCCCAAGTTTAAATATAAATATATAAAGTGTATTGTTTTATAAAAAACTGTGTTGTATTGTTGTGTTTTAGTTCGTGTTGTTATTGTTTTTAGTGCACGTTTATGTAGCGTTTATGTAGGTGAAAATTTAGTGTAAATTTCCATCCTTACAAGTTAATTTTGCGTATTTGGAATCAAAGTTAGAAAACTTATATGGACAAAGCCTATGATACAGCCTATGATAAACAAAACTCAATTGCAACAGTAAAACGTGGTGGTGAAGGCGTAATGATTTAGGGGTGTATAGCAAGTAATGGTGCTGTCAGACTTAAATTTGTACAAGATACAATGGAGAAATATGGGTATCTAAATATTCTAAAAACAAATTTAAAAGAAAATGCCAGAATGTTAGGACTCGAGGCAATCTTTTTGTTTCAGCAGGACAACGACTCTAAGCATACCTACAGCAGTAATCGTGCGGATTTAGATGCTGTAATATGCTGTCATGCAACTTCAAACACTACCAGAATCACCAGACCTTAGTAGTATAGAACATCTGTGGTTTTATTTGGAAAATAAGTTTCGCCAGCATATGTTTTCCAGCAAGGATATGGTAAGAAACGTTATTAAATGCAGAGGTTATCCCACAGGCTATTAAATTTAAGATTTCTCTGAATTTTAATTGTTTTAATATAAATATTAAGAAATATCCGTTGACTTTTTCTGCTTAAAAAATTGTTGGTTTTGCATATAATTGTGTTTAATTTTTTTTTAAAGAACGACTGTTAATTTTTTATATTGGAATTTTATTGTTCTTTCTTTGGTTAAAATAAATCAGAAAATAAAAATGAATTTGAGTAAATTAAATAAGTTATGCGTAATTTATGAAACATTTTGTGAATATCCGTTTACTTTTTTTGCTATGTGTATAGATGTTATGCATATATCAATGTTTGCATAATATCAACAATATGCCCAGAGTTTTTTCGTGTTCCGAGTGATTACCACAAGTACCTCCATAATAGAAGCTCGTCTGCATTGCGGTTGTCGAAAAATCCGTATAATCGAGAACCCAGTGTAGACGAATGTTAAATTCCGTCGAAATTTCGTTTTGAAATGTGTATCACTCAAAAAGCATCCTGTAATGTAAATTGGACTAATCTCAAGGACTTTAAAGCAGCTTGACTGTCTAATAGTATGTACTATTATATATTATCCACTATCTACTTTTATCTACTATTATCTATTTGTACAAATTTTCCCCTTACGTAAATATAATAAAATAAAATACTTTTACTCATCTTTCATTGATAAATCGAGCGAATAAATTTTTTAATAATAGCAGCGACATCCACATACACAGCCAGTGCAAGACAAGGTCAATGAGATTCACCCAAATTTCGGAGAGCATACCGAGCTTACAACCGTGCCAACAACAACCACAGAACTTTACATACAATCTGGATACGAAACACTCTTTAAACTAGGTTTGAAAGCATTTGTATATATAGACGATATTATAGTCTATGGATATAGATCAGAACATCATAATAAAAACCTTATACAAATATTCGAGAAATTAAGACTATATGATTTAAAACTTAATACGAGGGAAAAAATATTGCTATTTTAAATCTGAAGGAATTTAATTCGGACATTTAATTACACAAAATAGATCAGTTAGTCGGTTTGAGTCTGTCCCTAAATTTATTCCATGAATTCGCTTTCTCAATTGCATTTCAGTATTAATTTAGATGGAGGACTTCAAGCTAACCTTGTGCCATCACGTTATCGTTTTTATGATATCATTATTACCTATTAGGTAATGATCCAGTAATAAAGACTTGGAGTCAACATCAATAAATTTATTACAGGTTCATCTACATAATTCATTTATTACATGTTTTGCTTATTATTGTCTAACATAATCTTATAACTGAGAATAAATGTATATTTTTATTAAAATTATAATAACCATACATAAAAAAATAACTCTTGCAATTAGATTTCATTATAATCTTGTCATTGTACACTACTTTAATAAAGAAAGAAGACTACAAATATCTAGTTTTTCTTATCCCTATGGGGTAGGGGTTAGATTATTCTCGCGGTTAGACATGCCAGTCGTAAGAGGCAACTTAAATCCAGCCAAGCATCTGACTTAGTGTGGCTTAAAAGGTCACAAAAACCTTGAGAAGCTCCTAAGCTTAACCGAGTAGACGCTGACTTTAAGCAAGCGGGACATCTAAGTACGTAGAGAGTTGTTACGCAGCTGTGCACCATCGAGAATACAGGCATTTGCACGCTCCTAAGAGAAGGCAGTTGCATCAACAATGGAGTCCTTTCGTATGTAATGAACACACCATGGTAGGTACGAAAGAGGAAAGATGCTTGACAAACTTAGTCTACATAAAAACAGGTACTGAAAAATAATTATAAATACCGGGTTTCTACACCCATTAGAATTGACGCAGCTGATTGTCTCCCTACTTTGCAAAGACATTCATTGGGATCGTTATAAATGACTGTACAATCGAAAACTGATAGCAGCGAGAAATTTGGACCCAAATAAACAAGAATACTCGAGACAAATCGACATATCGACAAACTGAAAACCAAAACTGAAAAAAAGCGACACTCACCTGGACGACTACAAAAAGTCCGCTGATTATCTAAAAGAGGTGTTCCAACCAAATCCTGCAACAGGAGATTATGACTTTCCCACTCAGCATCTACATGCACCATCTATTGATATGCATATCACGGCCAATAATCTTGTTCAAATAATCACAAACAAGTTAGATTGCAAAAAGGCATCGGGATATGATAACATCTTACCTATTACGATAAAAAACCTACCCCTTTTGGGCATAAATTTTATCACAAGACTTTTTAATGCCATTATTAAATTTGGCTTTTATCCAACAGAGTGAAAAACATCCATGATTATTATGATTCATAAATCAGGTAAATATCCCATGCTTGCCGCTTCATACAGGCCAATAAGCTTACTGCCATGCCTTTCTAAACTCTTTGAAAGAGCACTGTTTTTAAAGCTAAAACCGTTCCTTGACGTTCAAAACTTAATATCCTCCCACCAGTTTGGTTTTAGTGAAAAACATGGAACTATTGAGCAAGTGTATCGTATAACGAACGAAATAAGACACGCATTTGAGCTCAGAAAATATTGTTCCGCGGTATTTCTCGATGTAAAACAAGCCTTTGAGAAAGTATGGCATAATGGGCTCCTATATAAGATACGCTGTTCATTACCTTCAAATGTCCACTCAGTTTTAGAATCGGATCTACATAACAGAAGCTTTTAAGTTAAATGTAAATCATTACTTCTAAAATTTTCCAATAGATGCTAGTACTTCACACATCTGATATCCCAATAAGTAGCTCAGTCGTCACCACAACGTTTGATTATGATACGGCAATTTTATGTCGAAACAAAAACGTTGTGTTAGCTGCAAACCAACTTCAATCTCATTTATTTCGGGTGGAGAAATGGTTGTCAAAATAGCGAATTAAAATTAATGAACTAATATGTAGACACGTCATTTTTACCTTAAATTGGAGTACATCTTCAACAATTTTACTAAATAACATTC